CTCTCTCCGTTCCCGGGGATTGTTGTCCGACGGTCATTATTTATGGAAACGCGGGGACGCCGTGACGAGCCTGGTTCGGGGATCTTTATGCATTTACCGCGGACACGATGCTGCATAATTCCTTGGGAGATTTCCATTGAATCTTCGAGTTGATGGGACTCTTGTAATTTTCATGGCGAAAGTTCTATCACCTTCGAAATTAAGATTAATAGGCGTTCCGCACGAAACTTTCGCGGAACTTTGTAACACCGATCGAAATAATTCCGACGTATAATTAATGCATTCGAACGCTCGATAATATCGATGATTCGTTCGGTGGTTGTTATTAAAGAACACAAGGAACAGGATTTTTCGTAGCACCGTGTCGTTTAGATTCTGCGAAAGTTCTATCACCTTCGAAATGATCAAAATTAACCCTTTGCACTCCAAGAGTTTTCTACCAAAGATACCCAACGCACTTTCTGACGAAATATAGTCAAGACTTCTTGAAACTAACTTAACGCGAAATCATACATAAATTAAAGTAAGAGGCTGTTTTATCTGAACGTGTCACATATTAATGCATCATACGAAAAATTGACATTAAATATTATTCATAATTTTACTATACCAAATCGAGTGGCAGCTGGGAGGCGACTATGGAGTGCAAAGGGTTAATAGACATTCTGTACGAAACTTTCGCGGAACTTTGTAACACCGATCGAAATAATTCCGACGTACAATAAATGCATTCGAAAGCACGATAATATCGATGATTCGTTCGGTATTCCTAAAGAACACAAGGAACAGGATTTTTCGTAGCACCGTGTCATTTAGATTCTGCGTTCGGTCGACTGAACACGATGGCAGGGGTTGAAAGGAGCGAATAGCGAGCGTGAGGAGGGGATGGGATAGAGAGAGGGGTAGAAATCGGTATAGACAAATTGTCGGATCCAGTTTATCACGGCGGGTTATATTCCTCTCGGGTGAAAGCATTTTCCCGCCGAATATTTTACGGGCGTGTCACACTCGAGTTCAGTGCCAGGCAGAGGACACCTAATCAACCCCCTTCAAAGGCACACGTTTCTCATTCCACCTGTCTCCGCGGCTGGGTTTTTCATGGTACTCACATGGTATTGCCATGGTTGAATCGCTCGGGTCCGGACTGTACTCCTCGTTTGGAAAATAGTCGATACTCGAGCACTCGTATTCCATGCGGGAGCCTGCGGAAAACAAAAGGAAAGTGATTCGTAGAGGTTCCGGCGCGTGGGCGCATCGTCATCGTGATATGCGCATCTCTGGAACACGCGGACCGATCGGGAAATCCGCCGACCCGACCAGCGAATTCGTCGCTATCGGCTCGATTCACCCCTAATTCTGTTTTTGTTCATTGTTTTTTATTTCACCTTCTGTTTTCGCGGACACGCGAGTGGCGTTCGATGTCTGCTAATCAATCGGCGGGCATGAATATAATACTCTTCTTAAAATCGTGCTCGAGTGATCGGTAGACTGAAGATCTCTGTGCGTTTATGGAAAATTTGAAATTTCAAGTCTGAGATTTCTTGGGATATTCAAAAATTTCATATAATATATGAAAACACGTTTGTGATACGATAGAATAAGGGTGGTTTTACATCAATTGAAACGTTAATGAAGTTATGCATTCTGAAAAGTTGTACTCTATATTTTCGATTTATCCAAGTTGCCTATTTATATGTGCAGCATGAACGCGAGTACAATTATTTATCGCAGAAATTAAATGCTCGCAGGTGCTGCAAAGAAGTAATCCACTTTTCGTCTGTTTGAACAATTTAAACCTTTATTTGTGTAATATCGAAACTCTTGCAATCGACATGATTGCGAACGCGATTAATATTTATTTAAATAATAACAGGGGTCTAGGTGTTCTGTTTCAGATTCGGGATGTGTTCGATAATGAAATTGATGTTATTTGCCCCGGTAAATAAAACGTTCGGGGAAACGTGTATCGATCTGTACAATTAACTGTGTGATCGCATCGAATGGACACGATTAAACTCTTCGCCAAGCGAATTATTACTTTTATTCTGTTCGACTAATATAAATACAACGTCTGTATCATCGCCGTGGAAACACTCGACCCAAACGCCTGAATAAACTTCTGCTTCGTCGAATTTCCTTCCTCGTTCAACGCAAATGAACGTTTTTTTCCGTCGCTTAATTGGTATTCAAGCGGACATTTAGATCAAATAAAAATGCATATTTCTTTAACGCGAAACATATTCCTCTTTCATTTCCTTCTTCGCTCTGTAACGCGCGATATTGTAATAAACGTACACGAATATACGCCGACCGCATATTAGGGGATGATTGGCGTGAAATCGATGGACCGATATTAACATTATTCTAGGATTTTGATACGCTGACAATATTTAATTGACAAGCCAATAACGCCAGGGATATCGACATATTTTTCTCTTAATTAACGTGGAAGCGACATTCCCCTAAAACGTAAAATTCTCATTTTCTTTCGCCTCTGTTCTTCTTTCGTCACGCGCTACTTTATCCTCAGCATTCTCGTTGATTACTACCTTAATCCATTCATTAAAGGGCTTGGATGAAATAAAGTCCCCAACTAACTAATTAAAAGCACGACCAACTGACGTAAAGAATAAGGTAATTATTTTCGCTAGTGGTTCGACGGAATGAAAACAGAAACCGCCCCGAAAGAAATTACACGGAAAACGTTAAACGAATGTGAAACCGGAGAAGGAATCGACGAGTGGCTGGCAGAATTTAATTTGTATGTACCAAACTAGTAAATTGTACAAGCAGCCGCGCCACCGTCGAACGGTGTGCCAGCCTTTTTCATTTCACACTCGCAGGCATCGAGTTTAATTGAAACGGATCTAGGAAAGGGAGGATAGTCCTGCGATCCGGGAATTTCGAGCTCTTTCGACTCCGGTTATTAAACTCGCGTGCCTAGGCATCGTTCCGTTTTATACGATCTGATTTAACAGGATCGATACCGCTCTCAAGGGTGTCTTACGTTTTCCCGTGGCGCTCGTCCACGCCGTTAAACCATCAAACGCATCGATCCCTGTGTTCCAACGACGAGAAAGTCGATTTCGTTCGCGACGCTCGACATGGCTACGAAAAGATCCGCAGAAATGAAAATTGGATTCTCAGCAGTTCTCACTCTTATTTAGTTCTCAACGCTAGAAATCAAAGGGAAATGGAAATGGATACTAGACAAACACTAAAAATTCTAAGGAATACAAAATAGTCATTAGGCTTTTTAATATTCGAAGTATCAGGCCAACGATGTTGTCCGATCGACTGCAGTTAATGTCAATTGGTCCTCCAAAATTTATATCCGAGCAAACATCCGTCAATTCATTTGCAATTGAAATACGAAACAGCTGTCAGTATTAATAATCGACTAGAGTCTATTCTCGCAATTCTCTTTGTGAGAATAACGTTCCATCGTGAAACGCGATATGGCAGCTTACTTTGCCGGAAATAATAGATCCGATTGCTTGTGAAAGTAATCGGTACGGGATTATAATGCATCAAACAGACTGCGGAACGCGGATCCGTCGATTGGGACGATAGACTGAAAGGGACTCGCAACCTAAATAATTCCACCGCACTTTAAATTATCAAACACTCCGTGTTACAGGAGGAAAATTAAATGGAAACAGGTGGTGATAAAACGCGAACCAATATGTCCAAGCGTGTTTACCTTGGGCGACCGACATTAAATCCGAACCGGGCAAGCTGGATAGCACCGGAAGATGACATTGTGAACGCGCTGCAGGTTTTTTCGACCGAGATCGAATATTCGAGCGTATACAAATATTTCCAAAATTCAAGATAAAACTCTTGTTTGATCTGATTTACCATCCTAAATAGTCCCAAACGTTTCTAACGAAAACTAGTAACTGATTACTGAACAATATTCAAACTTGTTCGAAATTTCTAAGCAGCGATGCTCGCGATAGATCGAAGATCCATTTCGGTCAAGGTTTGAAGACTTCGCGTTTCTCAAACTGATCCGCAAGAGTGACGGGTTTTAAAGCTCCGCGGCGAGGTTACGGGGCACCGTGGCTCGGGGAACGGGGGAAATTGGGTTGGCAGGCGTGGAACAGTCATTTCCGGTCCGTGCCGGAAGTCGGCCGTATTGCCTCCCTTCGATAGTCGGGAATCAATATTCCTGGTCCGTTGTCGGCGTGCCCACTGGCATGCAGGCATAACAGAAATAATAACTTGCAATCGTTGTGTGTGCACACACCGCGGCACAACGATGCACTGCGGCCGCCGCTGAACCGTGACCGGGGAACCGGATGTGTACTACCCTTTTGCCAGCTACCACCGACCTCGCAATTCCGTGTTTCCTTCAGACGCTGCTCCGTAGCGATTGCTAGGGAACGCTTCAATCATCGAAGAAAATTTTCTTCCTTTCTTTCGCACTGCAGCTACCGGATTGGTCGATACGACACATTTTCAGTTTCTTCCTTTGTAAATATTAAAGATTTGTTGTAGTTTGAATTATTATGTTTACACTTTAGCACGCTCGTTACGCCAGATATTGTGGAATAATTCAAACAATATTCGCGCTGTACATAAATACGTTACACAGTCGTTGGAGTACAACGGCGTGTAATAGTGCATTAAATTTAATTGGAATTAATATCAAACGCATGCTGCAATGAAAAGTTTGACTTGCGTTGGAGTTACTGTTATTAAAATGTTTATGGTAACGCGTATGAAATTGTTGCTCGTCTTTGAAATTCGTATAACCGTTCACCCGAGCGCGAGCGTGTAACTTTACGGGGATAGTTTTTCCAAGGTAGTAAGGAGTCCATAATGAAGAATTAAAGTTGCTCGCTTGAGAGTTCCGTTCCGCCAGCTCGTGAATTTCTCTTGGGTGTCGTGTTTCTGCATTTTCTTCGGCATAATTATAAAGTCGCCTCATCAAAGAATTCATTATTCTGCAGGTACAATGATCGAAATATATGAAAATTGTAATTCAGAATTAATTAACGTGCGAGCGTAATTATTATTGCTGTAGCGCACAGTAGAATCCAGCGAATAGAGTACAGAACATGAAGATAGAAAATTACGTTCTTTACCCAATTCAAAATTATGTTTATTTATTAGAAAAAAACCCAGATAATGGCGGAACTGGTACCATCCGTCGATAAAACAGATTTCTAATCCGAACGCCAACACTAGAAACACCACTAAACACAAGAATACTATATTTACCAAAATTTCGTGCAACTTTATCTTCAACACACCCACGAGTAATCAAGTGACTTCAATAATTTCTGAGAAAATCAGTCCGACAACTCTAATCTGGAAACAAGCAGCCGTCAAGCACTGCCAGCGTCAAATTGGAAGCGTACAATCTCGAGTTTCTTCGCGGCGATAAAAGTACCGTAAATTACAAAGCACACAGGAGGTCAGAAGAGGTTAATTTTCCAAGTGACCCGTCGGCGGGCGGGCAAAAATCTCGTCGGAGCCGACGGGTCCTCGAACAAAAGGAAACTTTTTCAATCTGCGAGTATAATTGCGGGGCCATATCGTAAGCATTTTAATTAAAACGATTATCCTCTCCGAAACGGGCGGAGTTTGCGAAACGGCAGCCGAGCGGGAAGCAGCCAGTTTCCGTTCCACCTTTTCGATTCTGCGACCGGCCATTCCGAAGAAGGAACGGGGGGTATTCCCGGCGAGAACCGCGGCGGCGGCACGGATGGCCCCCGCAGCTGTAGTTTACAACGGGGATAGGATCATCCAATTTACAGCCGCGATAAAGGCGGCGGGGGCGGGGCGGGCACGGGCCCGTTTTCCCCCGGCGTGACATTATTTAACATCAGTATGGATAATTGGTACAAACGGCCGCGCGCGCGGCTACCTGGGACGCCGCGTTGCGAAGACACTGTTCCGGCACGATTACGCTATTAAACGGGGCCGGGGACATTTGTCACGGCGACGCGAGTTTTAGCGCCGCGGCCCGCATTTATCTGCGGTCCTCGAATTCGATAACAGTGATATCCGATTTAACTTCGCCGGGACCACGAGCCGCCTGCTCGTTCGGGCTATCTGCTCGACGGCAAATTTTACCGGTCGGGCCAAAGCCGCGATAAAGTCGGTAAATTGTTGGAAGAAAATTTTCTCCGCTCCGCTACGTGATGTTCATCCGTTTCGGGAATAGGTCGGGACTGGAATGGATGGAAAT